TCTTAGAGAAGTTCTGAATGAAACCTCCTGTAGTAACCTGCTAGGCCTAAGAATTGGCAAATTTCTGTGGGTGTTGTCGGGACTGCCCATCCTTCGAACGCTTGAGCATCTACGATGAGACAGTTCCATTATCCGAAGTGAAATTGGATAATAAGTTAAGATATGTAGAAGAGCCCGAAGAAATCGTGAATGAAAGAACAACTAAGCTACGCAATAAAGAAGTAGAATTGGTGCTTGTCAAGTGGAAACACCATCGTGGCCCAAACTATACTTGAGAGAATAAGAATGAGATAAAAGCAAAATATCCCCATTTATTTTAATCGATGTAATTTCGGGGACGAAATCCTCAAAAGGAGGATGTATTTGTAACATACACGTTTTGAAATCGTGTTTTGTAATGAATAAAATTGTGAAATATTATGTAAAATTGAGTGTTGAGTTCTAACATATGGTTTTTACTAGAAATGAAGTAAAACTATGTTTAGAATCACTCAGAAAATATTGGAAGTCTTATGAGATTCCAATTAAAAGCCAAATAGTGAAATTTAGCGAAAATATGAAATTTTAAATAAGTAAAATTTTATTATTTGATGTTGTAGAGAATCTCGTTAGAAACTTGTAGGCGAAAACCTCGTCAAAATCCGAGTTATAACGAAGAAGTTATGACCAACCGAAGATCCGCAACAAAACCGGCACGACACCGAATGACGTTAAAAGTGAGTTTTTGATAAACTACTTTTTAGCCTTAGTAATCTAAATGAAAGTCGTAGTATTCGTTAAACCGAGAAATTCGATAAAAAGAACGCCAAAATCTGACTTCGTATGAGGAAGTTATGATTTTTCGAAGTTTCAACTTAGCAGTAGACAGCTAAAAACTCGAATTTTAGATCGAGCGATATTTTACTGATACATCCTAAACAAGAATCGAAGGTCTCATCATTTGTAGTACAACGGTAAAAAGTCTGACAAAAACGGATGTCGGATGAAGAAGTTATGAATTTTTAACGGATTTTCCTATCCCGGTCCGTTAAAAATAATAATATTAAAAATAAAATCAAAATTAGCCGACGAATTCTAAACAAGAGTTGTAGAGCATAATTTTAGCTACACGTGCATATAAAGAATGTCAAAAACGGAGCTCGTATGCGAAAATTATGGATTTTAGAAGTTCGGGGCCCGAAAACCGAAGAAATTCGCATGAATAGTACCGGCCACGTCACCTCGCACGAAGCAGGTGCGTCACCGGAGACGTGGCCCAAACCGATCTGCTTCGCTGCTTGCTTCCCTCCCAAACCGAGATCGACACGTGTTCCCTTCTGATTCGCTGAAGCTGAGGTCCAATAAGATCTTGACACACCTCGCATCGGTTGCCAATCCGATGCGAGCCACGCCTCGCTTACCCGCCTCGCAGCCGAGCAGCTTCGTCACCCTTCCGTCCGAACCTCGTTGGAGCCCTGCGCAGCTGCCGCGTGTCTTCGCTGAGTCACCTTCTCGGCCGAACCCTCACCTATAAATAGGAGGACCTGCGAGACCTTCCGACTAACTTTGGAAATTTGCCACTTTTAGCCCCTCTTTCCATATTTTCTTCATTTTGACTTTCCCCGAAGCCCCGATATCAATTTTAGCACCCGAAACACGCCCCGAGACCCCCGAGAAGCCCGGAAATTTTATCTTTTCGGTTTTGAAGCCCTACCTTCGCAGAGCCCGATTTTCAATTAAGCTCCCGGTTTTCAACATAGAAAGTCATATTTAAAGCCGAAGTGCTGTCCAAATTACTATTTTAACCCCCGGTTAACTTAAGGTGAGTTCCATATATAGGAACAATTGTATGTTATGTGTTATATGTGCTATGTGCTTTTCAGTGTTATTATTCTGAATTATTTTCTCGTGTTATTCACTATGTTTATAGCAATTGTAATACCTTTGACCATGTGATCAGTGAAAGGACTTAGATTCACATTGGTACTGGTACGTAGCCTCTGGCCATGTAAAGCATGTCTCCGTAAGAGAATGACTTCTATTCTATGGCATTGGCAAATGGTTAGACAGGACTATAAGCCTGAAATCTACAAAGATGTTAATCAGAAATTGCATGTCTTCTATGCCATTTGGGCCAAAGTTTTATTGATGTATATAAAGAATTAAAAAGTATATCTTTGAATAAAGTCTTTGATTTATATAAACGTTTGTCACATGATCTCACATACATCTTGTTGTTCCTCTTTGCTTTTGCCACATTGAAGTATATATATGGCATAACATTATATTGTATCTATTTTTGAACTCACTAAGCGTCACTGCTTACCCTATCAATGTTTAACAATTGCAGGTGATAAGTTACTAGTATGTTTACATATTATTGAAAGATGTAGAATAGGTTGTAATAGTACTTTTGTACTACATTTTATGTTTGTATAAATTACAATATCCTGGTTAGTTATGTAATATATATAACACTTTGTAATAGAATGTTTGTATCCAATAGTTTGTAATTCCCTTTTTATCAATATAAAATATTGCTTTTATAACTATGCAAATAACATGTTTTGGAGTAATGATATTGTGAAGTACGAAAGTTTGGGTCTTTCAAAAATACGAAAGTTGGGGTCTTTCACATAGAATGAATATAGTGTATAATCTCAAGCTAGAGCTACAAGTATTATCATTGATGATGTTTACATGATCATAGAACTTCTTGGCTAAATTGCCCGTTGTGACAGTAAGAGACCCTTAACTTATCAACTTATAAGTTATAAGTTATAAGCTGAAAAATACTTATGATTTTCATAAGCTTTGCCAAACACCCCCCTAAGAGGGTGTTTGATAAAGCTTAAAAAAAGAAGTTTTTTTTTTTTTTTTTTTTTTTTTTTTTTTTTTTTTTTTTTTTTTTTTGACTTACAACCGGTTCCACAAAGGTATAAGTCAAAAAAAGTGTTTGGGTAAAAGCTTTTTAAAAAACAACTTATAACTGTTTGGAACCTCCAATAAATCATTTTTTAATAAGTCACTTACATATTACTTATCAAAAACTCCTTATTTCACCATTCAAAAAAATTGACAAATATACCTCTTAACCTAAACCTACATCAACACAAAAACATAGGCTATAAGTTAATAAGCTTATAAGCGTGTTCGACACGTAACGTTTGAGAGTTTCTAGCTTCTAGCGTTTGATAAAACGCTTCATTTTGAACCAGAAACCTCGTCCGACACTACAAGCTTCTAATTTTTGGTTTATACAAAACGCTCAAAATCAAAATGCTATTTCATGTAGTGTTTAACAAAACGCTACAAGCTACCACACTCTACCCGCTACAAGTTAATTTTGTCAAACACACCCTATAACATTTTTGACACCGGATAAACTTAGACCCAACACTTTTTTAAAAATTCCGTTTTGAAACCATTATAAATTAATAAACTATAAATTAAAAAGTTAAAAATTATTTTAAAATAAGCTTTGGGAGACACATTAACATAAAATTTTAATATTTTATTAGTAAAAATGCAGTCGTACATACAATAACCTAAAATTTGAAAACAAGTATCTACATAACATGAAAGAAAAAAAAAATCGGATCAAATCATCAAAACAAGGCTTTTGTAACATTTTCCCTGAAGTTGTTAAATTGAGAAGACCGTAAGTGAGCAGACGCCGAGCGTCTTTCATCAAACCTCTGTCTTGTCTTCCAGCCATGCCATAACTCACTGTATAATCGGAGTCCAGTAAACCCTAATACATTATACCTCCTTAACAATCCCAATTTCTCACTAGGGTTCGAATTTTCCAACTGTTCAAAGATGATGTACAATGATCCTCAGCAACAACAACAGCAGCAGCAGCAGCAACAACCACCACCAATGTATCAGCAACACCCACCACCACCGCCTCCGCAACAGCAAATGATGCAGCAGCACCCACATCACCAGCACCACCACCAACAGCCGCCGCCACATCAATTCCACCAGCCGCAACAAATGGGAGAGTTTCAGAGGGGTCCGCCGCAACAGCAGCATCAGCAACCGCCACCGCCACCGCAGATGATGCGTCAGCCTTCTGCTTCTTCCACAACGCTTGGTGGTCCTCCAGAGTATCACCAACAGCTTAATCATCCCCCTTTCGACGGTAAGCCTAATATACCCTACAGCTCAACAAGTTTTGGTGTTGTTTAGGTTAATTTTCTGTGTATCCTTTGATTTAAACTTCTACATTTATCCATAGCATAGTAGAAGACTTAAAGCTTTAGAGATTTGAATTTTGAACACACTTACCCTTTAGAAGACACATTCGTTTCTACTTATAGCCCACCAAAACCTATATTGAGTAGCAAATGCTCTAACGCAGAAGCATGATACAATGGAAACACATTCTTTTTTTAATCTAACAGAGAACTAATAAATGTGAAGATGCATAATACACTACAAACTCTGTGAGTTCACATGGCTAAATGTGAGGTATTATGATCAATGCCTCTAGTTCTGTGTTACATGAATGATGAACATAGAAAGATTAGTTGTTAATTTCAGAGAAAGAGCATTAAGATGCAAACATGGATGTATAATTTTGACCATTCTTCTTCTTTTTGAATTAGTTTAAAAGTCAACAGCCCAAATCATTAGTTTGACCTATAAACAAAATGAAAGCAACATATTTGTAAAGATATCAGATCAAAGAGTTTGACCTAAAAAACAAATAGCATTGTGGTGTTCTGTTTTGATTCTTATAGGGTATCTTATATGTTATTTAGTCTTTTATTTTTTTTTTTAATATTTTAGCATTTTATTCAGCTGTAATAATTTAAGTTTTGTTATACCTGGTTAGTAATTTTTCTGGCTTCTACTTTCTGAGGTTAAGTAAATTCAAGATTAGTTTTAACTTGAATTTTGCTGTTATGTTTTCATATTTAGTTGTTGAAGATCAAAATACCATGTCTTTGAGTTTTATTATCTTAATTAAAAAGTTATTTATTATGGTTGAAAAATACAACCCATGCAGATAACTTTGCTGCTAAAAGAATGAGAAAAATTGGACAACGAAGAGCTGTTGATTATACAAGTACTGTTGTGCGATATATGCAGGTAAAAATATTGTTGTAGATAATTTTTTTTTCTTTTTCTGATTAATATATATATATATATATATATATATATATATATATATATATTCTTATTAATATTTCCCATACATTGTATCTTTCCTTAAGTATCATGTTTGTTTTAGATTAGGAATTTCTAGTTTTTGATGTGATATGCTGTTTCTTGTTGACTTAATGCACTTAATTTATAAAAACTTAATGAGTTCAGCTATATATATACCTGATTTTTACTTATGTTAACAAAATGTCCAATTTGAACTTAAGATAATGTACAATTTGAACTTATTTTAAAATTATGTTTAATTTAAGTTACTAATCATGTTATTTTTATATACTTTTCAAAATTGTTTAATGCGATAATGTACAATTTCTCATTATAATGGTTATTAAATAAATGGGAATTTGTTATTGGTCAGTTTTAAATAGCAGGGTAAAATAGTCATTTATTCAGAGTCAGAGTGCATTTAGTCCAAAAACATAAAAAACTTTTTTTTCAATCCAAATTATACATTCAGGACTTAATAGGAAAAAAAAACATGGCCTAAGAATGTAAGATGTTATTTCTTTTGATTTAATGGACTTCATCTGTTTGTTTCTTTTTGACTTAATAAAGCTTTTATTTATTTATTTATTTATTTTTTATTTTTTAATGCAGACACGTTTATGGCAACGAGATTCACGTGACAGAACAGTATTACAACCAACCCCTGCTGCAGCAATCGATGTTAGTCACTACATTCTTTTTTTTCACAACATTCAAGATTTAAAAACAGTTTATTTATTTATTTATTTGTTTTTATTGTTGTTTTTATAAAAGTGCTTATTAGCTTATACAGTATGAAAACTAAGTTTAAAAGAAAGTGTTTGGATATTACCTTATTTGGTACCAAAACACAACATGATAATAACTTGTTTCTTAGACATGTAAAATGACCACACATAACAAGGGTAAAAAGGTAAATTGGTATGATGATGAAAAAGAAAAACGAAACTGCAATCCATATGGTTCTTTTAGAGTTAAAACAGGGGTGAAAGGTGCTTATTTAAGTGAAGAAACACTTATATATTTTGTTTAAGTGAACCTTAAATAATCAATTGCAAACACCAACTTATCATGTTTTATTAATTTACAATGAATTATCATATTTATATCTAATCTAATTTATAAATATGTTTATATGTCAGATGTTACCAACAGTTGCCTATTCAGATAATCCATCAACCAGCTTTGCATCCAAGTTTGTTCATACATCACTCAACAAAAACCGCTGCTCAATCAATCGTGTGCTGGTGAGGGCTTTTTCGTCAAATTCCCATTATTTTAAGAACAGTTTTTATTTAAATCTCAAATGCATCTTGATTAGTGAAAACTGAAACCATAGATAGAATAAAACTCCAAATTCGAACACGTTACACAATTAATATGTAAACTTTTATTAAAGAGAAGCAAAAATTACAAAATTGGTCCCTGTGGTATACTGTTTATTTTTCCTCCCAGTTTTGGTCCAAGGGCAAAATGGTCATTTTAAAAATTTGACACCTAATACGAATAAAATACATGCATATAAAATGTTTGTAAAAGAAAATATCAGCCCTAAACTGTTATAAACTAATAAAAATTTAATGGACTTACAAACTTTTACAAACCTTTATTAAAAGTAAGTAAAGATTACAAATTTGGTCCCTGTGGTATACTGTTTTTTTTCTTCTTCTTCCAATTTTGGTCCAAGGGCAAAATGGTAATTAAAAAAATTAGACAGCTAGGCTGTTAACATGGACGATACAACCATAGAGGAACCAATATCAATAGGAAACATCTAAATAAGGATGAAATTGCAAAAACCAGCTATACTCGAGGGTTAAAAATGTAATTTTCTCAAAAGTTGAATTCTAACTGTGTCCTGACATATGTATATGTTTAAAGTGGACGCCTACAGGTAGGCGACTTATAACAGGTTCACACAGTGGAGAATTCACTTTATGGAATGGTCAATCTTTCAATTTTGAAATGATTCTTCAGGTAATGCAATTTGATTTTCTTTATTTTTTTTTTATTTTTTTTTTATATAAATATAAATTTTTTATTTTGAGAAATTTGGAATATGTGAATGAATGTATGCAGGCTCATGATCAACCAATCAGGTCTATGGTATGGAGTTACAATGACAATTGGATGGTTACTGGTGATGATGGAGGCTCTATAAAGTAAATAATTTTTTATTATTTTATTTTTTTTCTTTTTAGTTTTAGGGAAATCTCCGATAAAGTCCCAATATTTTAGACCAGTTTACGCTTTAATCCCAGTTTTTGTTTTTTGAACAGAAAAGTCGCGATTATTTTTATGTTTTGCACAAATTTACGAAACAGTCCTTAACTAAATTAGATTATCGGGACTTTTCTGTTCAAAAAATAAATGTTTGGAAGGGTTAATCTCGTAAAAGACCTTATATTTTGTGCTTTATTCGGATTAAACCTCATCTTTATTTTTTTCCTGAAAAAAACAATGTATTTTTTCATTTTTTATGGAAAAGCCCTCTACTTTGTCTTTCTTTTTCCGGAAAAACCCTCAACCTTGTAACTGTTTCCAAATAAACCCTCAACTTTTATAGTTTTTCTCAAAAAAATCCTCACATTTTAAAAGTTTTTTCGGGAAAAAAGGGTTAATCTCAAAAAAGACCTTATATTTTGTGTTTTGTTTTCTGGATTAAACCTCAAATTTTTTTTTCCTGAAAAAAATCTTGTATTTTTTCATTTTTCTCAAAAAAACCCTCAACTTTGTCTTTTTTTTTTTTTTTTTTTTCCCTGGAAAAAAACCCTCAACCTTCTAAGTCTAACTGTTTCCAAATAAACCCTTAACTTTTTAAGTTTTTCTCAAAAAACCCCTCACATTTTACAAGTTTTTTTTCGGAAAAAAGTGACTAAAAGGGGCAGATCGGAAAAAATGCAAGGTCTTTTTCAGGAAAAAGAATAAAAGTTGAGGTTTAATCCGGAAAAAACACAAAATACAAGATCTTTTATGAGATGAACCCTATTTGGAATATGCAAAAGATACCTGAAAAGGGTTTGAAGGAATCTGTCTAAAGATGATTTTTTGTGTTTATTTTTAAACCTGTGTAAAATTGATATGATATTCATATGGTGAACATGTGTAGGTATTGGCAAAACAACATGAACAATGTAAAGGCCAATAAATCTGCACATAAGGAATCTGTTCGTGATCTAAGGTATAAATAACATTCTACTTCCACTTCTTTTTAACAACATTGTATTTTCTAATTAAGGAATTCTACTTTGAAAAATCCACCTATTTGTATCATTATACTTTTAAATTTTTTTTTCTCTCTCTCTCTCTCTCTCTCTTATGCTGTAATAGGAAGAAATGAAAGTAAAAAAAGCTATTTCTTTTATTTCCCTTATTCTTGAATCTTGTTTTGTTGTTTAACAGCTTTTGTAGAACAGATTTAAAGTTCTGTTCTTGCTCTGATGACACAACTGTTAAAGTTTGGGACTTTGCTCGATGCCAAGAAGAACGTTCTTTATCCGGTAATGTTCTTGTCTTCTGCCATGTCAGCTTCATGTATTAAATTCAAGTTTATGTTTTTAATATTCAAAATAATATTCACTTGAATCTATAATTGTCAATTATAACCATAGTCTTTTCTAATATATGGCTTTAACTCAGACAGGCCATGGTTGGGATGTGAAGAGTGTTGACTGGCACCCTACCAAGTCTTTACTCGTTTCTGGTATGCACTTCAATATATATATATATATATATATATATATATATATATATATATATATATATATATATATATATATATATATATATATATATATGTTCTTTTACGGTTTTACCCTCCTCTTTCCCCATGTTGAGTTGCTAAATATAAAAATCATTCATGCTTTTGTGGCATTCTTTTGACACAATAAACAAACTTAAAATGGTGCAAAAGTGATTGAAGTTTACTGTTTGTATTGATTTTTTAGGTGGGAAAGATAATCTTGTGAAGCTTTGGGATGCTAAATCAGGGAAAGAGCTATGTTCATTGTTAGTGAAAATATTATTATTTGGTTCCTTGTAGTTTAACATTTTGTCCATAATGGTCCCTCCTTTGGAGTCTTAAAGTTTCTTCTTTATGTTTGTAGTCATGGGCACAAGAATACTGTTCTTTGTGTCAAATGGAATCAAAATGGTAATTGGGTGTTAACTGCTTCTAAGGATCAAATAATCAAGGTGCAGCTTCTTATCTTCCTTTCATACTACATTCTCATACTTTCATACATACATACATACATACATACATACTAATTTTATTGTGATTTTCTTTTTATTATTCCTTATGACTGAATAAGCATTTCTTAATTTGTGCAGCTATATGACATTAGGGCTATGAAAGAGCTTCAATCTTTTCGTGGTCATCGGAAAGATGTCACTGGTTAGTTCTAAATCTTATGTGGATATTATTATTATTATTATTATTATTATTATTATTATTATTATTTTTTAATGCTTATATTGGGTTGTTTTCTGATTGATAGCTCTGGCTTGGCATCCATTTCATGAGGAGTATTTTGTGAGTGGGAGTTTTGATGGATCAATCTATCACTGGCTAGTGGGGTAATATGGTCTTTTAGTCTTTAAAGGCTCCTTTTCTTCTAAACAATCATGGAGTTATGAAAAGTTGAAACATTTATTTATTACTTTTTTTTTTTTTTTTTTTTTAATACATAAAGGCATGAAACTCCACAAGTGGAAATTCAAAATGCACACGATAGCTGTGTGTGGGACCTCGCGTGGCATCCCATTGGGTATCTCCTTTGCAGGTAAAATTATTCGTAATTCCATATGATATAAGAATAAATATTAATAAAATTACAATTTTGTAATAAAAGAAAGAAATGAAATTGGAAATTAGGATATGCTGACATGATATAATATAATATTTGATGCAGTGGAAGCAGTGATAATACTACAAAATTTTGGTCTAGAAATAGGCCTGGGGATCCAGCTCGTGATAAATTCAATGTGGGTCATAATCAAGGTTTGTTAGATTTTTGGCCAATTTTTCATTATTTTTGTTAAATTGCAAATTTTATTTTGTAAAATATTTTTATTGTAATCTTGTTTTAGTTTTAATGAGCTTTTATTATGGTTAGTGTTTTTTTATTTCACAGTCTTGCAAAATTATTCTTAACAATGTTTTGATTTATGAAAGTAAAAATTCAAACAGAATAAAAGCTCATTAGATTCCAAATAAGATTATATTTAAATAATTTTTAGTGAAACAATTTCTTTTATAGAAGTTTCTTATTAATGGTTATATAACTTACAATTTTAGTTTCTAAAAACTAGATACTATATATATGTTATGATAATCTTATTTTAATGAGCCTCTTTTAATCATAATTAATAAATTTTTATTTACAAAAGTAAAAATTCAAACACATAAAAAGCTCATAAAAAACCCACATATAATTATAATAATAACAAATATCTGGTTATTCTAGAATATAAAATATTAATTTATCGAAAAAAAGCTAAAAATTTAATGTGTAAAAAACATCCTCTGTCTATTCCTTTCCATCACACACGAAAATCAAAACAAACATAAACTCAAGGGTATTTTGGTCTTTTCAATAAAACTTTTTTCAGGTTTCAACGAACAAAACCCTGCTCATGGTGGCCGTATGGCAGTCAATTTTGCGGGACCCGAACCGCCAACAACTCCGGGACCATTTGGTGGATTAAACCGGAATGAAGGAACCATCCCCGGAATCGGAATCGCAATGCCATTATCTCTAGACACATCATCAGACCAAAAACCACCCATATCATCCTCAATGCCGCTAGGAGCACCACCACCATTGCCGCCAGGTCCCCACCCATCTCTTTTCGTCAATCAACAACAACAACAACCACCACCCCAACACCACCACCACCACCAACCACCACATCAACAACAAATGACATCCTTACCCCCACCAAATATGCAACCGCTTCAACATCCAAACCATATGCCGCTCCTTCCGCATCCTCATTTGCCCCGCCCACCTCCCCAATTGCCGCCACATAACATGCCCGGAAATTTACAGTCTCCAATCATGCATGGTCAAATGGTAATTTTTTTAAATTTCTACACTCATCTAATTTTTATTTGAAACAAAAGGGTTAAATCTAAAATATATCAACTTACTTTTGTAACGTAATCCAGGGAGCAATGAATCAGATGGGTCCCCCAATGCAGCAAGGCCATTTCATGGGCATGAATCCTATGCAGCAAGGCCCACCGAGTGGGGGTGGGACCCAGATGTATTCATCAGGGGCTACATTTAATCGCCCTCCAATGCCAGGGCTAGGTCCTTATCAGGTAACACATTTCCTTTACACCTAAATACAAGAAACAGAAACCTACTTTCATTTGTTTATCAACTATTTTTTATTTTTTATTTTTAATTTTGCAGCCTGGGAATCCAAGTGGTGGCGGAATGGGAACAGTGCCACCTAATTTCGGTATGCCTCCACCCCTGCCACCTGGCCCACCGCCACATGGACAAACACCTCAGTAGGACTTTTTGTACATCTCATTAACTTTGTTCCTTTTACTCAATTCTATGTTTTTTGTTTTTATTCTGTCTCGGATTCTTTTTTGGTTGGTTATGTAAAAGTGGTGGAATGATAGTATATTATTATGATTTTCAAGTGTACTTTAAATTAAAATGACAGTTGTAGATTTGATTTAATGAACTCTATGATTCATAACGTTTTTCTCTTTTCATGTGGCCCAGATTCACAATCGTGAATATAGGGAAACGTTAAGCGAGAAATTCGTTTATGCTCGTTTATTTAATAAATGAACAAACTTGAACGTTTTTTTTCCTTTACACCTTGTTCCCAAGTCTCGTTTAAGGAGGGAGTGGAGGGAAACGTATGGACATTGATCTTGTTAGTTTGTTGAGTCATTTAGGTTTTACGACTTATAGATTTGGTAAAGTTATCAAAAGAAACATATCAAAATTCTCGACAATAAAATTCTAAGGTATTTAATTTGGATGTTTGTATTAATTTGTGTTCATATGTGTTTGTGTATGTTTGTGAGCATCTTAATGAAAAGACGTAGACAAGGTAATTTGTTAAATAAAAGAACACAAACAAGATAATTTGTTAGTTTATTTGTGTTTGTGTTGGTTCATTTATTAGGTTAACTTAAGCAAACAAATATAAAAAAAATCTTTGTTCTCTTCGTTTACAAGTCTGGCTTTGTGATTTCTAACAAGGGTCCTTTTGCTTTTAAAAATTGTGTCATTTGGCATCAAATCTATTGTGATCTCAAAGTTTTAGCATGAAGACATTTTTTGTAGAACGATTGAATTGAATAGAAATATGGCTTTATCAAGAAACTAGAGCAAAAAACGAATTACATCAGAGTTTAAAATCAGATTTTGAAGCCATGAATTCCAATCTAAGTGGAACTTCTGTTTCCTATGAATCACCCAACAAAAAAAAGTAGTTACAATAACATCAACTAAGCTATATTTTTTGGGCAAACCTAATCAAACACGCATTTATTCCGGAAATTCAATAAATGCCACCACGTTGTAGAAATGATAACATCCAACACCATCCTTCTAGCTGTAGATATCCGAGCAGAGGACACAAAGTTTTCGAAATGAGTGACCAAAATCAAGGAAGAGAGATCCAAATCGCACCATTTACCCAAAAAAGCAATCGTATCTTTTGCTATTTGGCACCCAAGAAAAGTATGATTAACCTCTTCCACTTCCATCTAAGCCATTTATTACTTTCTTTTGCTAAATAAATGAGGCATATATTTTTTATTTTTAAAAGATTTTTTTTTTGAGATTACTAGATATTAGATAGTGAACCTCATGAATGTTGTTCTTCTTCCGAGCATGAGTGATTTTTGGATTGTATAATTATATGAATTTCTCAAGTTTCCGTCAAAATATTCCATTTTTAAATGATTTTACTAGGGATGGAAGGAGGGGGGGTAATGCGGTTCAAACCATGATGTTTAATTATGGCGGTGAACAAAGAATAAATCAACGTTGCTTGCAAAGAAAGACAACACGTGACTTTGTCTTCACCAAATGGCGAATACTCCTTGAAAATAAAAATAAAAGTAGAATATCACTCAAAACAATAGGTATTTACAGTTAAATTTGGAAGAATTTCAAGCATGATCTATCATGAACTTTTAAGATGTCTGAGTTTTTAAGTCTCTGGAATTTTAAGAGGTCGGAGAGGATAGTGGAACGAAAATTGGAGGCGATAAAACCCCAACTCTCAATGGATTGATTCCACCACGGAAATCACTTCCAAAGCTTGTTAAAAGCTTCTAGACATTCTCAATAGCATCATACTAAAGCTATAGGTTAATCAAACTAAACATTCTAACCAAACTAACACATTCACCATTAAAGCTCAAAGCTTAATAAGATGGAGAAATTTTTACCTTAATGTGGAAAGGATGATAATCCTAGCAATACACATTCTCTATTTTCACTTGGCATGGTTTTGGCATCAAAATTGCCATCTTCAAGCTCCCAATCGATTCCCTAAAGAAAATGATTGCAATGAGCTCTTAACTGGTTATAACCTGTGTTCTAACCTTGTAACCGCATGTCTTTACTGCATCGTGGTGCACTTAATTTAGCTGCGATCAGCTTCTAACCGAGCCGCGATGCCTTTCTCATATAGCAACCTACTTTGACCACCACGTCGCGGTACCTACATACCACGCCGTGGTGCAAAGTACGTTGCCTTCCACATACGTTGAGGACTTCATCTGAATCATCGCCTCCTCTTATCGTGCCGTGGCAAGCTCTTCACTATGCCACGGTGGTTGCATGATAGCATCCTTCATGGCCGATTCCATTCCAACTTTGGGACATTTTTCTTCCAATCTTCAAACCTTCACATCTTCTTCGTCTTAAACCCGTCTTCTATGATCTTTATATCCTCACGAATGTGTGGATAATTTCTACAACTCCATTAATTTACTTCTCATTGTGTGACAACCCGAAATTCATTTCTTGTACAAGAGACCAATTGAATCCAAGTTAGACTCATTTTGTTAGCTTTCAACACTGTTTGGGGTCTATTGGAGCGTTCTAAACGTAATACAAATGAGGTAGGAACCTAGAAACAGGATAACACAATGCATATCAAGCAAAATCAGGCCAAACACTCCAAAAAATGGAGTGTACGGCCACACACTTGAGTGTACGGCCACACACCCGTTTTCAGCCACACACTCACCTCTATATATAGGGAAGGACCCCCCTTCATTCATTCTTTCCTTCTTTGGCTGCACTCCACTTCTCTCTCTCTAAAAATCTTGTTCAAAGAACACTCTAAGGGCCTCAAGAACGCGAATCACCCCATCAATTAGCTAGTTACTGATAAAACATCTGAATCTAATCTTAAAACTCATAGTGTTCTTAGTGTTCTTCATCCTTTGAAGGAGTGCGGCCGCACACCTTCATATGGTGGCCGCACACACCTTAAAAACTCTCCAATGTGAAGAGTTTGGCCTTCATTTACTCATATGACTTAAGAACACCTCAAAAATCAACATTTTGGGCACAAATTAGGAGTGTACGGCCGCACACACACACTGTACGGCTGCACACTCATGTGTGTAACCGCACACACACATTTGTTGTGCATCTTGACCATACACTCCCTTGTGTAGTCATATACCCCTCATGCATAATCTTATATAATTGTAACACTTCATAATAAGTGTTTACTAGTCCCTAAAGCGGTCCGAATGCAATAAATAGTTATTCCAAACACTAATTGCACACATATATGTCATTATATGGTTAATAGGATCCGTTTGTGCTCAAGTCCACAATTGGCACTCAACCTCCTAAACTAATCCTTCCATCGCATCACTCACTACAGGTGAGTTCATACCCCTAAATCAACCTTTTTAAATGATTTTATATGCTTTTATGGGGGGGGGGGGGGATACAAGTTATAGTACTAATCATATGTGATTTATAACTTGTTACCAAAAGGATTTCCTATACTTTCAAACTACCTTGCCAACAAAATTGTGTTAAATGTTTATCAAACTCATTTTCATGTTTAATTATTCCAAAAATAATTCCAATGCTTTCAAACTTATTTTATTTCCAAATCATATCTACACTAATATATTTATATAAGTAAGGATTGAAACATTTAGAACTGATAGCTCACCTTATTTCCTATTCTTGTTTGATTATGGACTTAGGGTATTCAGTTATCTGTCCGAATGTCGTTAAATTCTTAGTTATATATCATATATATATATATATATGTGTTGGATATAAAAGTCTTCAATTCAGTTCAACACCTTTGCGTATCAAAGGCATTCAACTAACCTTTCTATTTAACTATAATAGGTATAGTTAAGAATCACCACCATTACTATTGTTACTATGATACTCACTAGGCTTAGTACAGTTATGAGTCAATACATGTTAAATACTATGCAACGAGAATACTACATACTATACAAGAGAACATTCAATACATTATACCAGAAAGTACATTATACACTAATACAAGAGAATATACTAAAACAGAATGTGACATACTATTTCGCGATATGACACTTCACTGTGTTATCACCGTGTAACCAGAGTCTCCTGGAGGGAGAGCGGGCATTTTGTGTATAGATATATACGGGACAGACACTCCCACATCCCGACTGCTAGCTACAGTCCGAGCCGACTAGGCCCATGGGTGACAAATGTCACCATACTACGTGTGGCCTGGAGGGTCATCAGTTATTCAATCGTCAATCAGCATGGTTACATACGAGTTCACATTTGGACCTTTAATTAACACATGAATAATTAAAGGCAAAAACAGACTCCCCGAGGTGTATTGTACATTTAATACTACCTGGAGCCTACAACTTTTATTACATTCATCCAGCAGTGGCACTGCTGGGGTAAAGCATTATTTTCCCAATTACTTTACATGAATGAAGTCTAAAACTATATTTTCATACGGATAGTTTCACTGGGAAAACTTTTACATTTTCAAAGGATCAAACATACAGATAACCGGGTCTTGGTAGAAGACTACTTTTACTGGAAAATATAGGATTTTCTAGGGATCATATTATTTTCAAACATTGATGACAGCTATTACATTACATGATTGAAAACACTTTTATACAAGCAATGACACTAAATACTTATGAACTCACCAGCTTTATGCTGATACTCGTTTTCAAAATAACTTGTATTCTCAGGTCATCAGTAGTCAGGTACAGATGTAACTTTTGAGAAGATGGAGCACATACAAGACTCCTTTTTATTTTGATTATACTTTTGGTGTCTAACAAACTGTACAGAACACGCTTGTATTACAATTATTATATTAATGCAATGGATGTTGTTGGTTGTCTTTACTATTATGCATTGTTATGATACTGTACATGAAGTCCTCCACCCCAGAACGTATTCCGACGCTCTCGGTTTTAGGGTGTGACAGATTGGTATCAGAGCCTTGTTTATAGTGAATAAAGTATATCAACCCATAAAAGATGTATGAACTATAAACACTTCAGGATTAAAACACTATGACCAAGAATATATACTTTTAAGTAATAAAATATTTAACTAAGTATGTGTATACATCCACTAATACAAAGGTCAGTATCATACTAGAACCGAACAAAAGTATTGAGATTGTTGAACAACACAATTAGGCTTAGAGATATATAGTCAAATCTGGGTGGATGTAGCCTGATCAACTACGTATTCCTAGGAGTGACTAGCATGTGCCTAAGATTGGTTGTGGTGTTGCAACAAGTCTAAAAACTTACCAACACTACTACAAG